GTCAAAATGCCTCACAAAAATATAAGGAGCAGCATGTACGATAGGCAGAGATGAAGGTGAGAAGTAAGGCAGACAGATTTTTAACTAATAAAACCTGCTGTATTGGGCTCAGTTTTAAAGCTACAGTGAAGACAGGTATCATATTAAACTAGAAGACCTGACCATGCTATGCTATGTTGTCGAAAAGGGGGCTAAATAATGCTTCCAAGTTACGCAACATTTTGGTGAGGGAAAAAGGAACATTGCCTTTTTTCAGAATGGTATATTTAAATATTTCTGCATACTGTGGTTCCTAAATTTGGAATTACATAAATTGGGTATGACTGGAAAACTGAGTTGACAGCCATATACACTGTTTCAGTTCTGCACATAATTCGACCAATATTTAATTAAAGTAGCCTCAAGACTGATTGAATTAATGAAGAAAGAATTATGAATTCTCCTCATTAGATCTTATCATTTAATACCTTGCACTAATTTCCACAATCAATGTTCGATTTTACTTTTCTCTTTCATTCATTAGAGGGCATTTTTTCAGCCCAGGATACATTACATGTGACTACCTCTGCTTTTCAAAATCAGGTCTTAACACAGAAACACAGAGGTGGTAATAATTGGATTAAATTCATCACAAGTTTTCTATTAAGAAAATTCTGATGGAAATTTCTTTATTCTTTGTTGTTTGTTATTTCTTTATGAGAGAGTGTTTCCATTGCATTTCCTGGGGAATTGTACTTTTTAATCAACCACTTTCACCTAAAAATTGGCCACAATCCAAGATTTCGAACACATGATATGATGCATTATATGGATAAAAAATAGAATAAACAATCCAATGGTATATAAAATTTGAGCTTGAGCAATTAGTTGGTATATTTAGTAAATGTAATTTAGTGATTGAATTAGTGATTTTAAAATGTATTAAATTACTAAACTATGTTTACAGTTACTTTATTATATTATGAATTAATCCTGGTCCCATTTCATAGTGTTCATTACATCATTATTCCACTGCTATGCAGATGACACCTAGCTCTATCAATCCACCAAGCCTACTTCCACTCTTCCACCCAATGCCCTTTCTGACTGCTTATTGGTTATTAATCTTGGCTCTGGTACAATTTCCTCAAATTTAACAGTGAAAAAAACTGAGGTTCTCCTTGTAGGTACAAAATCTACTTTGGCTAAACAACATAGTTTCTCTCTGACCATTGACAACTGCAAAGTCCATCCTTCCCCTCAGGTGAATTGTCTAAGTTTCAACCTGGACAGTCCATTGTCCTTTGGCGCCCACATCAATAATGTTATTCGATCTGCATACTTTCATCTCATAATATGAATCGTTTTTCACCAGTCACTTACACCTCACAGCGCTGCTATCCTCATTCACTCTTTAGTTACATCCCAAGTTGAATATTGCAGTTCTGTCCTCTTTGGTCCTCCTCTCAAGTGTCTTCATAAAATCCAATTGGTCATCATTATTAGAGCCCCCATCATAGATCATATCACTCCTGTTCTCCAGCAGCTTCACTGGCTTCCTGTTGAATATCGCATCAGTTTCAGGATTCTGCTTCTCACCTTTAAGGCCCTTCATAATTAAGCCCCTTCCTACCTGACTGAATGCCTTCATATCTACACACCCTCCCATACTCTTCTGCAGTCCAACTGACTTCACTATCTGCCAGCTTGACTACCATGGGTTCTAGAGCCTTCAGCTGTCTGGCCCCCGCCTCTGGAACTCTCCCTTATGACATTCGCAATATTGACTCCCTTTGCACTCTCAAATCCTGTCTGAAAACAAAACTTTTCAAGCTGGCATATTCAGTCTGATTTAGTGGTGACACATATCAAGACTTAAACTGATGATGACTTTTATGATGATGACTGTATACTGAAATTTTATAATTATGATTTTGTCTAGTTATTTTATTTACTTATTACTGTATATTACTGAATTGGTTGACTTCATGATCTATGGATACAAGGCTGCTTCTTTTTCTAACCATGTCTTGTCAGGTGACCTTGAGTGCTTTGAAAGGTGCTGGTAAATAAAACGCATTATCATTATTATTAAAACAGAAGTTTCCAGACGAAATCTCGTAATTCTGTCTTGAAGACCCCCAAAAATTTGTGTGAAAAATCCTTTCTCTTCTCCGTAACACCCCTAAACTGAACATAATCATGAAAAACGCTCATGATGTTTGTGTTGCGAGGGGAAGATATTCTACTGTAAAATGTTGATGGTGAATGTTTAACAAATATGTTTAATATGAACATTTTGCCAACATGACTGTTCCCTTATTTTGTTGATAAAAGCATAATCCAGCAGCATTGTTTCCTACAAAATGTTAATAAGTTGTATATTAGGAAACAGGGATGAGTAATACAAACATGATGTCTCATTCTGACCGTGTGTGTGTTTGTTTCTCAGAGATTCTGTGTACATGTGTGGAGACGAGGTCCAACCAGAACAGTCACATGGTTTCTAATTACTACTGGGAGGTTTCCCCCAAATGATGCACACACTGCTGCAATGTTCCCACAGTTACTCAATCCCACTGTATTCATCTAAACAGGTTGCACATTGTTACTGCATATCTCAGATCCACCCAAATGCCATTACCTTAACTGGACATTGACAAATTTCAAAGGAATCCAAAAATACCCACTGCTTTAGCTGAGATCTTTGCAAATATCTACTTTGCAGGCCTCCACTTTTCTTCAGACCCACATTCCTTGGCTGCTCTCTTACTGTCCCACGGGGCCAATAGAAAGAGAGCAGAAGCCTATTTCAAACATGCAACAGAATGTGGCCACTTACAGCAGCAAAGTTTGCATTGTTTTAATAGAAACATAAAAATCATTAGAATGGGTTCTGTTGTTGTTGTGTGATGGGATGAATAAAAAAATAAAACAATCAAATAATATTTTAAGAGGACGCAACTAAATAAAGAGTTCATTCTTACCAAAAGTGATTTTAGTAACAAAAATTTCTTTGCCTTAACTCATCTCAAAAATTTTGTCTCAGCTAGAAACTGCAATTTATGTTGAATGTTATGATAATTTTGTGTAACAGTGTAGACCAATGGTTTCAATTTTTTTGTAGATTGGATACTGTACTGCATTAGAAATAATGCAACATTGAGGCAACTTTTACAACTCCAAAATGCCCCAATGCCATTGTTTCAGAAGTACTACACTCTGTAAAATGTTGCATTAAATGATTAATTAATTAATTAATTAATTATTTAATTAATTAATCAGTGTAGTATATATTTATTTATTTTTGGCCATTCCGTGGCAGCAGAAAAAGCTTTAAACACAGCACTGACATATCAGGTAAAAACGTTGGTGTGGTTAACAAACAGGCCATTCCAGTACTGCGCTTATAAGCTTCCATGCCTATTGTTTTCTACTGAGATCAAGGCGACTGTGGTTTGTAAAGTCATACAGCGCTGGGTATCCAGCAACCGCTACAAGTTTCTCCTCCATTGTTTACCAGCTGTTAACTTGTCGTGACCACCAAAGAAGGCCCACCTCTCAAGTCATTTGATTGGACAATGGGAAAAAAAGCAAAGATGACAGCTTTGAATACTGTTTTTGTACTCCCTGTCCAACCAAAATTAGCATGCATATGCAGGCTTTTTAAACATTTAAAAACAAACCTCCCGCGAATGGCCATGGGATAAATTACAGAGGATTTTAAAAACGCAGCTGTCAGCAATAATATTGACATTGTACATGTCTACAAACCACAGATACATTACATTTGCACATTTTTTGTGCAGCAGATACGTTAAAACTTTATGTTTCAACAATGCTGTGCTTAACGTGTGGTTCGGTTTAGGCACAAAAACCCATTAGTTATAGTTAGAAAAAGATAATGTTTTAGCTTAAAATACCCAGTTTGGGGGCACAATACCTGCTGGAATAGGAACAATAGGTCACTTAAAATCACCCAAGTTTGATGCCTAAAAGCTACTGGAGACACAGCAATGACTCATTCAAACCAGTTTTGTTGTTTGTTGGTCTTCAAGGCACATCGCCAAGGTGAGAAGCCATCCACCATCCCCTCCACCTCCTGATGACAAAGTCAGCTCAAACATTGCATATGCAGATGATATGTATGAAAAGTGCAAATGTAACGTATTTGTGGTTTGCAGAAATGCACTGTGGCAACATTTTCCTCTTTTGACTGGGCTGGATTTGAACTTTACATCTATTAAGTGAGTTCGTATTGTCTCTGATGTTGAATGTGCTTTTATTTGTCTGGATGTATTTGTTTTTTATCTGCTGCACTCGGCCTTCTCTTGCAAAAGAGACCTTGATCACAGTTAGTTTGCCTGATATTAAATCATTAAGTAATACTAGTAGCCCCTTTAACCCTGCTTGTTAAAGGCAGGAATACTGTGCAGTTACGCCACCTTGCCATTACGTATAAGGTCAATGTATTCTTATGGAAAGAAATGACAAATACAGCAATACATATAATCACAATATCAGTTGTGATAAAGATGAAAATTAAAAAATCTAAGTCCTTAATTATGGGTATTAGCATTAACAACCCACATCATGCCAGATTTTCATGCTCTGAGTCTCCTGTGTGAGTTTAGAAAGAGATGAGTATGTTTCCTGGTGAGCTAAAAGTCTGTACAGACCTTGAACTGGACCACTTGGGAATAAGTGTATTGGCTGTCAAGGCAACAGCGCACCAAGCTGTTTGCTTTTCACAGAAACACAGCTGAATTCATGAGCAGCACGATGCCAAGAATCTCCTTCCCACAAAGAAAGAACCAACTATTTGGCTCTTGTCAGTATGGGTGTAGCCATTACTCATATTTCTGTGAGTTAACACACAAGTCAGTCACAATCACAGGGACAATTTCCACGTTTTTTAACAGAGGTGTTGTGTGTTAAACCAAGGACATTCATGATCTGAATCAGTGCTTTTGTGAAAGGAGGAGTTCAAACTGAGCAGATCGTTGCAGAACCCCCCATCAGCAGGCAGGCATGTGGGAGGGATCAGCAGGCGGAACGAGGCAAAACCCTAAACAGTCCCCCCATTCCCACATTTACAGCTCCAACTCTCTGTCCTGCTGGCTAGAGACGACGGAAACAGAAAATTTTGGATTGTTTTAACATGGCATCTGTGAAAACTGTGCTTTATTTGGGAGTCTGTCTGTCTGCTTGGATCATCACTTCTGCAGGTAAAACCACATGATCAGATGGATAGATGGGTAGATACAGAGTAGTACAGTAGTTTTACAGTTTGTTTGTGGATCTCTGCAGTTCACTTTGGTTTCTGTGTTCCTGCTGTAACTTAAAGGAATACTTCACCCACAAAATGACCATTTGGAAATCAGTTTGTCATGCTCTGTTACCCTAAATCTGTGAAGAAAACTTTTTTCCTATTTTCTTTTTTCTTGCATGCCTGCATGGAAAACACTTTTATATTGATTTATAGTATGATTGGGGACCACTTCAGCAACTGCAAACTATATCAAAACATCCATTTACAAACTGTCACACAACTCGTGTAGTATAATCCAAGTCTCTTTTATCCAGCTGTATGGTTTTAGCAAAAATGTGTTTGTTTAGTACTGAGCAACTCTATAAATCACATTAAAATTCACAAGTTGTGTGAGAGTTTGTTAACGTCATTTGATGAAGTTTTGCTGTCCCCAATCTGCAGCCCCTTTTATATTGCTTGCTTGGGTTTCAAATAAAAGGTACAATTGGGGGGACAAAGTTGTCTTGCCTATAAGCCAGCAGTAGAAGTAGTAACAATGTTGAATTAATGTTTATGTAGAACGGACAGCCAGCAGGATGAGACCATGGACGGGATGGGTGTGATGATTTGGCGATGGGTTATGCAGTTAGCAGCTAACTTAGAGAAGAACAGCAGCCAAAAATGTCCGCAAAATTGAAAAACAATGAGGTCCAGGAGCTCCTTTCCCATCGAGCAGAGGACGAGATCTGCTGCCATGTAACAGGGACAGCAAATGATTGTTATTGCCATGTTAATGCCATTGTTATTGTTTATAAACACTACTGACTTGTGTGTTATATCACACCAGAGGCTGACGCTGTTATGTTACATGTCACGCCAGTCACACCTCTTTTGCTTCCGGTATGCTGGTATGCTGTCTAAAATCAGACACATGGGGACAGTATGATGCCATTACGGCGGTGAATTAAATGATCACACTGGACAGTTTTCATGGCGATCATTTCTTCAGTAGAATTTAGCTGCTGTGAAAACTGTAGAAAGTGTCTGTGGTTTATTCATTCATCTCCATTGAGTTGGGCACTGTGCGGAGGTCAGACTTTAGTCTCTGATGCCATGGCCACCACTGGTCACCTCTTGGCTCCGCCATTGCTAATAAAGCTCATCAAATGTACAGCTTTTCACTGTCCCAATATCATGTAGCATATTTCACAGCTGAGCTCCGCTGTGTCTGACAGAAAATGGACAGCAGATCTCTACATCTTGGAGGATGCAAATCATCTTCATGTTTGGTTTTATATGTAGCCTAAAGATTCTAACTATGAAAAATCCATTAAATGTTTTGGGTGCATACACTGTAGATATAAATGAGTGATAGGCCTTGTATCCATATTGGAAATACAAATGATGTTTAAATAATAGAGATGTTCATGTAGTAATGTTGTTATTCGTGCAAAGAATGGATCTTCATGATGGGACAAGAACTTTGCATAGTTGTAACATTCCCCACTTGTTCTGTAATCAGTAAATGTTCCATGGTGGCATTTAGACTACCTAATCATGACACAGCAGTTTTTTTCAGACATGTGGAAATGTTAAAGTAACCAATGAAACAAACTAAATGTTCCACAACATTCTGAAGACAAAGAGAACATAATGGAATGTTATAGCAATGCTGTGTATTTAGTATCTCAGACTGTATAAACCACATTTATAAAATTGTGTCTCTTATGTAACAGTCTCACTTTTGGCTCATACTCAGCTTTGCTCACTGGCAAAGTCTGACTTTGATTATGAGAAAAAAACAGGACTGGGAGGTGCATGTCAAAGTTTTTCTCCAGCTGATTTATCAAAGTTGATATGCAGTTTGGTGTGATACTACATATCATTAACAAAACGAAAACAGGAATGAAAAATATTCACAGATCATGGATGAGTGGAAATAAACCTTACATTTTATACATAGGTGGCAACCTTGTGCCCAAAGCCGAGAATGTACGCTGGGTGTCTCTGGACTTTAAAACCATCCTCACTTGGACAGCCAAACCATCTAACTACAAATACACTGTCATGTACTCGCGGTGAGTCCACACACACACACACACACACACACACACACACAAGTACAGAATTGCACAAGTGAATTAATCAAGGAGGAAGTCATATTTTGGCAGTGGAAAATTCTGAATTGCTCAAATTTTACCACAATATGATAATACTAATAGTCACCATATTACATACAGTAGATGTTGGTTGGCACCCCCCAGTTTGGAGAAGCAAGGTCGAGTACCAGCATGGAAGCTAAGCAATGTACTGCTGTGAGGGGGTCAGCAACAAAACGTACTTTAGCCACCTAAAAAAGTCCCTAAAACATTAATATCAGTATAAGTATACACTATATTGAGAGTTTTTTCATTCCTTTAACTTAAAGTCAGACAGTGATTTCCAACAGGAGAATTAAGCTGTTATATCGCTTTCTTCAAGGCCAGTTTCCATTGAGAAAAATAGTTATTTTATTTTGCTGAACACAGGAGCTGCTGGTCTACCATTGCCTCCTTTAGTTAATTTGTTTTAGGTTATTGTGTGACTTTGGCTTTTAAAAGGGTTAGTTCAGATTCACCAATAACACAAACTAACTTACTGATCGAAGCAGTGGTAGACCAGCAGCTCCTGTGGTCAGCGAGCTAAAATTACTGTTTTCTCAGTGGAGTCTGGCCTTGAAGAAAGCTATATAACAGCTTCATTCTCCTGTTGGAAATCAGGTGACCCCTACACAGTGGTACATTGCTTAGCTTCCCTTTTAGACTCCAGCCTGCTTCTATAAACTGGGGGCAAGCAAACTGACATCTACTGTATGTGAATAAGTTCCCCATATAGCCCTGCTTCCAAAAACTGAACCATCTCTTTAAGCCTTTTATTCAAAGTGTTTGACACATAAAAACAGAAAGACAGCAGAACGGACATTGAATTGTTTGCCATGGTCATTTGACTAATACCAACGAAAATGGCATTTGATGTTAGCTGTTATGGTGACAGCACACATCAGTGGGGCCATAAAGTGTGTCACATTCATTACTTTGAGAACTTTGTTTGGCCTGTTTTCCTTATTTAACAGAAAAATACAACTGTACACCAATCCAAGTTTCTCTCTTCCACAGAACTAAGACTAATGTTATAAAAGTAGCGTTAGTTATTTGGAGAATAGCTCAGTGCGCAGCCAGTACATGGATGTGAGTGTGCATAAGGTGTGTGTGTGTGTGTGTGTGTGTGTGTGTGTGTGTGTGTGTGTGTTAGAGCAAGCAGTAGAGGGAGAGATTGGTGCTAGTGAAGATATCAGAAGTGATTGGAGAGTAGAGTTTACAGTTTGTGCCTGATAAATGCTGCAGCTCCTTAAGACCAGGAGCAGTTTCCTGTGTCTTATTTACCAAGTGCTGAGTGGAGCAAAGGGGGATATCGGGGTTAGAGTACCAACTTCAGTAACTGCTAAAGTGTAGATAATCTTGGCTATATTTTAGACGTGTTTTTAGGTGATAGTGTGACTCTAAAGCCCTGATCAGGGTAAACCACAGAATTCAGTTTTTAGCCAGGAAAAATACCTTTCTGGACAGACAAATTCTTCATACCCTAGCTGGAGCTCTAGTTTGAAGTTATTTTGATTACGCTGCCATCTCCTGGTATACCAGATTATCAAAACACATTAAAAACAAACTACAAAAGGCAAAAAATAAATTGATAAGGGGCATGCTAAAAGTTTGTCCACGCATGCATCTCAGTCCTGTGCATTTTAAAAAGTATTTATGCTGTTAGGCTGTTATAATTATTTATATTAAGATGCTACTCACTTACAAAATTATTAAAAAAATTGTACTAAAGTACCTAATAAATTCTTTCTCACGTCTAAAAGACAACCATAGTTACTTTACAAGAGGCAGCTTACCAGTATTTAAATATGTTTGATTCAATAGCCTAATAGGCAAAAATACATTTCTCTATAGTGGAATTATTTGCTTACAAATCTGAAATTGTGTATTTCACAGAGCACATTTAACATTGCTCGAAAGAAATGGCGGGCGCCATGATGTTGCAGTGGTTAGCATTGTCACCTCACAGCAAGAGGGTTCCTGGTTCAAATCTGGGTTGGGCAGTTCAAACCTGCGGTGGGGAGCCCTTCTGTGTGGAGTTTGCAAGTTCTCCCAGTGTCAGAGTGGGTTTTCTCCACGTACCTTGGCTTCCTCCCGCAGTCCAAAGACTTGCAGGTTAATTGGTGACTCTAAATTGGCTGCAGGTGTGAATGTGAGTGTGAAAGGTTGACTGTCTTTATGTGTCAGCCCTGTGGTAGTCTGGTGACCTGTCAAGGGTGTCTCGCCCAATTTCAGCTGGGATAGACTCCAGCCCCCCACCACCTCTTGTTGATGGGATGTTTTAATCTTTTGATGTGTTGAGTGTTTGCTAGATGACCGCAGTGGAAATAGGCCTTTGGGCTTTATTGTGCATATATCCTTGGTGATTTCAATCAATCAGTTAAAGAAATAATTATGGAAAGGATTCCTACAGAGATAGACAGTTTTGTTTAAGAGTGAGGTCCTTTTCGTTGTAGTAAACAAGGGTGTAAATATAGACAGTGCAGGCAGTGCGGTTGCACTGGGGCCCATGGGGTGAAGGGGCCCGACTGACACCTGGAAATATGCCTGTGTTCAAAGAAGAACTCACGTTAAAACAAAAATGGTGCTATTTTCCATACATGCCCTAAATAAGGCAAACCCATCTCCATCATGGCTTTCTGGTTTTGTAAAACAGTGTCAATCTATAACAAATTAAAAACTAATAATTTCCTATTTTCTTTTGTAGATTTGTCTTATGCAGATATGTAATGATGATTGCTATGTCATATGTATGTTAATGTGTCCAATATGAAGTATCTGCAAGTGGATGTAACGTAAAAGCGGCAGTAAGACACACTGTTACTAAAATATACATACACCTAAAACTCTGTGTGTGTGTGTGTGTGTGTGTGTGTGTGTGTGTGTGTGTGTGCGTGTGCTTCATAACTTGTAACTAGGGCGTAATAGGGCCCCTCATAATAGCCTGCACTGGGGCCCATTGTAACTATCTTACGCCACTGGTTGTAAACCAAAACAATCTCGAATTTGCTGTCTCCACCCCCACCAGACTCCATTTAAATACGCACTAATTTTATCATGATAAAACACACTTTATTCTTAACTCGCAAAAAACATCTTAGTTTGTCTCTCCACTGTTCCAACAAGCACCAACACTGGATTGGTTGAAACAAAACCTTAATTCTCCCAGTTAGATGTGAAAATATAATGGCTCTATATATGCTGAAATACTGTTTTTTTTAATGAAGTCTGGTGGCTACTTTTTAACAAAAATGTTTATCTCTGTAGGGATCTTTTTTAATGTAACACTTAAAATAACAATCTGAGCATGTCAGTGGTAAGAACAAACACTTCTAGTGATATATTTAGGGTGAATTTACCCTGAGTGGTTACATTGCAGCCTGTTTTGCTGCTGGCTGTAGCACTCTTGCTGAACACTGGATCAATCTGAAAAATCATTCTTACCATTAGTCACTTAGACACAAAAACATGGGTTAATAGGGTCCAGGCTGAAAGTTACCAGCATTTTCCTTCAGGTAAAGGGCCGCCACTATGTTGGTGTTGGCTTATTGCTTCAGGTATGCTGAGGAATATAAATATGAGACAGAAAACTGAAAGCTTATCATACGCAAATACACTGCACAGCATTTTTCTGCTATGTCTAGACAAGTTGTTCCACTGTTTTAAACGAAGGCACCACCTCATCACTTCTTTTTTCATGGTCCCCTCAAATAAACAGTGAATTAAAATTAACTGGTCAACATGGTTAAATGTATTTATTTTATTCTGTTAAACAAGCTTATTTTTGAAGTTTGCAAGGAAAAAAACATGCACATGACATTGTGTGCTGATTGTGTTTTTCGTGTAGCTTTTTAGTTGCTGTGAATAGTTGTATCTAACAGTTTTTCTGCAAGGAAGAGTTGAGTGTGGATCAAATGTGCTGGACTACCTTTGTGTGACCACAGTGCCACTGAAATTAAATAGGAGGTATGTTTGTTTGGGCAGTTTTAATGTGAAAGTAAGAGTGTGGTCCTCTGGGAGCTAACACTAATGGTCCCAACATGAAGGACTCAGGCGAAAAACAAAAAATAAAGGATTGCAGGATTGCCTAAACCACTGAACATAACCACTCTAAGACAGACCCAGCACACAGTGGACAACCTAAAGTAGATCAGAGTGAGCTTTCACCCCAACAGTCCCAACAAATGATGATCTCCCTGTAATGCTGACATGTCAATCACATTTCATCATTCACATTTCGATACTTAGGAACACAAACATCTGTCAGTGTCTTAAATGATAGCATTAATAAAGGTGTTTTTAAGGTTCCCTCTTTTCAAATGGTAAGTACCTATCTAATAATTATATAAGTATATTTTCCTCATAATGATGCAACAATTTAATCATGTTATATTTAATATGCTGCTGTACTATAATGTGTTCCTTTGTCTCCAAAAAGAACCTGACATTTAATCTGTATTTTAAAAGATTAATATTTAGCTGAAAGAGCCAGTGTGTAGGATTTAGGGGATATATTTGCAGAAATGGACTATATTATAACAAGTATGCTTTCTTTAGTGTATAATCACCTGAAAATAAGACTCTCTGTGTTTTTGTTACCTTAGAATGAGCTGTTTATATCTACATAGGGAGTGGGTCTTTGTCCACAGAATCCGCCATGTTGAACCACCATGTTTCTACAGAATTGCAGAACAGACAAACCCAACGCTGGCTCTAGAAAGGGACACTGAAGTTTTTGTGTAGGCCACCATAGTTAGAAGCCCCTCTGTGATGAGAGTGTTGGAGAAACATTGATTTTTTTTAATGTGGAACTGCTTTATCAGTGGTTTTACTGCTTTAAATCACCTGGTCCGTTTGTTTTGAAAAGGAAGAGACCTCTGCAGATAATTCAGGTCCTGCAAAAAGCCTCACGAACGTCAGGATCTTAACTTAATAGAGAAAAAGTTGAGTTCAGGTGCAAATCTTAATTTTTAATACTTCCTTAATCCACAAGGGGAAATTCAATCTTTTCACTCTGTTGTCATATACATATACACACATATAATATATATATAACACTGAAGGAATCCTAGCTTGGAGAAGTTTCAGCTGGTTGCAATCTGCAGTCCTCCTTTAAATAAAAATTCCAAATCATGTAAGGGACAGCAGGTGTCACAATGTCAGCCTGTGTATTTTTTTTGTATTCAAGTTATTCTCTTGTGTATCTTGTCATGTGACTTTTAGGGCTGGCGGTGACTGGATGGACAGTCAGCACTGCATCCGAGTGTCAGAGTCAGAATGTGATCTGACCTTTGACCTAGTACCTTACGACAGGTAGGAACATGACCTCTATCTACTTTCTTACTATATAATGACGAAAACTCACTGTGGGTGTGTGTGTGTGTCTGTTCCACATTTTTCTCCTCACTGGCTTGGTCAATCCATGTGAAATTTGGCACAGTGGTTGAGGGTCATGGGAGGATGCGAATGAAGTAATATTACATCAATTGGCCAAAGGGGGGCGCTATAGCAACCGATTGAAATTGCAAACTTTGAATGGGCATATCTCATGCCCCGTATGTCGTAGAGACATGAAACTTTGCACAGAGATGCCTCTCCTCATGAGGAACAAATTTGCATCAAGAACCCATAACTTCCGGTTATATAGATTTTCCGCCATTTTGAATTTTTTGAAAAACACTTAAAATCGATCTCTTCCTAGGAAGTTTGACTGATCTGCATGAAACTCTGTGAACATAATCTAGGGACCAATATCTAAAGTTCCCTCTTGGCAAAAGTTGGTAAACTTACTAAAATGAATGAATATTATATAATAGAGCTAATTTCTTATCTAGGCCTAACCGCCATGTGGATTTTTACTAAACTTGGTAGATATGTGAACAGGATGCCTCAAGGTGACTGGAGAAATTTAACTCTAACTGGCAACTGGGTGGCGCTATAACAACAGAAAAATGCTTAAAAATGGCTAAAATGCGACCGATCGCTGTGGCTCCCCCTGTGGCTGAATGTTTTTTGTTTTTTTCTAATTTTTGGTATGACTAAGTCATGGTATGGTATGCTGTACATAATCATGGAAACTGTCAGTGTGTCAGTCAGTCATTCTGTCTGTCCCACGTTTTTCTACTCACTGACGTGGTCAATCTATGTGAAGCTGTTCGTGGGCAACTGTGCACTCTATGAGTATGGACTAGTCTCTATAATATTACTGTTGGGTTTAAATATCTGGTATGTTCAGTCACCTAACATACTTCACATTCATGTCTCATTTCTTTCTTTTTTTTAAAGATTTTTTTGGGGCATTTTCAGCCTTTAATGGATAGGGCAGACAGTGTGAAGGAGGGAGAGAGAGCGGGAGTGACATGCAGCAAAGGGCCACAGGCTGGAGTCGAACCTGGGCCGCTGCGGCAACAGCCCTGCACATGGGGCGCCCGCTCCACCACTAAGCCAACGACGCCCCTCATGTCTCATTTCTAATGCCACTCCTGTTCAATATATTCCTACGGAAACGTATATTTCTCTGTTATCAGCATAATTTATGTCCCATTCCCTTAACCATCTTAATCTTAGTTTTGCTTTATCATATATAGTAGCATACATTGTTATGAGGCTACCCAAGTGTGAGTTTGTGTATTCTTTAAATGTGATATCAGAACATAATGTTCCCAGATCAGGCTCACAGAAAAAAAAGTGAGTGGTTAGTCCTCCCTGCTTGAACACTTCTTTACTGTAATCATCTAGATCTAAAACTAAATCAACAAGTCCTCTGAATTAAATGACAAAATACTTTTTTGTCCTCAACCTCCAGAAGGACACAGGGAAGTGTTTTATTATGTTATTTTATGTAGCCCAATATCACAAATCACAACCTTGTCTCTTTACAATCTGTACAGCATATGACACCCTTTGTTCGTAGAGCCATCCATTCAGACAAGGAAAAACTCCCCAAACAAACCCTTTAAAGAGAAAAGATGGAGGAAACCTCAGACAGCAACAGAGGAGGGAATCAAACCTTAGGGACAGATAGACATGGAGCAGATGTGTGTGCAGGATAGACCGGAGTTAACAGAGTCAAATGACACTAAGAACAAACAGGATGGCAAGTATTTGGAGAGATTTTAAACATAAAGGGGGGATATGGATCTTGGAGGACCTCCAAGTGTCTCCAAACAAAACTAAACCACACAACCTCAGCTCCACCATGGAGAGCTGGACAAGAGGACAGACTATACAAACACCACAAGGCAAAACTAAAAAACATAATTAACACAGACAAACACACGCACACGGGCTCGTGCGCGCACACACACACACACAAACACACACATACAGTGATAGAGAGAGAGAGGGAGTCCCAGGATGCTGTTAGAAGACTGAGTGTCAGTGACGACAGCAAGGAGAAGCTAGGGACACTATGCAGAGAGATGATTACAACACAGGTGGATTATGAGACAACTGGCCCCTGGGCCCAGATACACAAAGGGCCCCACCACCTCTCCTACACAGTAGCAAGACACACAGACTTTGTGGTGGTTTTCCATGGCTTTGTAGTCCCTCTGTGTCTTTTTGTGATTTTGTGTCTCCTTTTGATCATTGTGTGTCTTCTTGTGGTTGTTTTGTGTCTCTTTTAGGCTATTTTGTGTCTTTTTGTTGTCTTGTGTATCTCTGTAGTCGTTTTGTGTCTCCTTGTGGTAGTTTTGTGATTCATTTTCTTGTAGTCATTTGGGTCTTTTTGAGATAATTTTGTGTGTTTAGGTGTCACTTTGTTGTCATTTTGTCTCTCTTTGCAGTTGTTTTGTGTATCTTTGCCATCAGTCTTGTGTCTTTGTGGTTGTTTTATGTTGTTGTTTTTTATCTTGTGTCTCCTTGTAGTCATTTCGTGTCTGTGTGGTTGTTTTGTGTTTTTTTTTTTGTAGTCGTTTGTCTCTTTCAGGTAATTTTATGTCTTTTTTGGTGTCACTTTGTTGTCATTTTTTGTCTCTGTGGTTGTTTTATGTATATATTGACATTTTGTGTTTCTTTGTGGTTTTATTGTGTCCTCTTATAGTCATTTGGATCTTTTCAATGTAATTTTGTGTCTGGTGGTTGTTTTGTGTATCTTTGTAGTCATTTTGTGTCTCTGTGTGGTTGTATGTTTTTTTTGTAGTTTGGGTCTTTTTGAGGTAAGTTTGTGTCTCTGAAATAAGTATCTTTGTAGTCACTTTGTGTCTGTGTGATTGTTTTGTGTATCTTTTTAGTCATTTTGTGTTTTTATGTGGTTGTTTTGTGTTTCTTTGTAGCCTTTTTGTGTCTCTGTGTGGTTGTTTTGTGTCTTTTTGTAGCCATTTAGATCGTTTCTTGCTAATTTTGTGTCTTACTGGAGTATTTCTGTGTATTTTTGTTCATTTTTTGTCACTCTTATTTATGCATTCTCGTCCGACAGGAGCTACACTGCTGATATCAAAACAGAGCCTGAGACTTTGGACTATGACTATGACCTAGAGGACTTCCCTCACACTGATGCCCCACCCTTCAACCCCTACAGAGAGAGTAGGTATCACAAGCTCAAACACCAAAAAACCCACATATAACACACATTACAGTTTTCAGTAAGACGTGAGGAAACTTACAGGTGTCTTTAATTTCCAAAAAAGGCCCTGAGAGAAAAAAACAAGCTCTGTGCAACAAGTATGATTCTTTTGTGGCACAACTTCAACCAGCTCCTAGTCATTCCCTCTGCCTGCAGTTTTCCCTGCCAATTACCAATTCTCCTTACATGCATATCCAGCCACTCCCTCCTTCTTCTGCAGAAACCCCTTTTCAATCTGACTGCCCCACCACCAACACCTCATCAATGCACAAACTGCATTTTAGGTGAAAACAGACCTTGTAAAAGTCTGTCCAGGCTGAAGAATGTGAAGTTGTGACGCGTAGACAGGGAAAACAACTTTTTGGCTTGTGATGTCAGTGTGTGCTGCTATCTACTTTAACAGGCATCACAAATGAGGCCTCAGATGGTGCAATGGTGGACATGGCCCAGATGGGCTTGCTCTAACCTCACTAACAGGACTAGTTACTCTTCCACTTTATTGAGAAACAGATGTGTCAGAATGTGTTCCTGAGGTCACAGCTCAAGTTAGCCTTCTGGTGGAATTCTTTGGATTCTGATTTGTTATTGGTTATTTCTAATCATAATAAAAAGCTTTATTAATACAACAGTTAGTTCCGACCAAGCAACAACAGGCATTCCATGAGTGCTGATATACTGTACATTATTACATAATTAGCTGACATTAACGGTCATCAGAACAAACTTTACATCACAATGAAGAACATATTTCCTCAAATAACACAGTTAAATAATGAATGGTTATGACTGTTACTGCTATTTAGATGTAATAAATTGCACTTGTAGAACTGTTGTATAAAAGCAATAGCACACTTGATCATAGAGCATTTAAATGCGAATTGCACCAATTTCAAACACCACTGTGTCTCTCCAGGTGTTGTGAAGGACCACTGCACATGTTGTCTAAAGCTTTTGTATCGCCAGAGGGAGCTGTGTGAGGACTGATAAATGTCCTGGAGTGATTGGCTCAGCGTCAGTTAGAGCTAAAGCTGAGGCTTGAAGCTATAGTTAGAAAGAAGTAAGCTGACCAGACCTTTGTAGCCTGCTCCTCATCTGTGATACAGGCTAGAGACTCCAGATGGTATGAGCATAACACACCCCAATCTCGAACTGAACTGTTGGCGGTCGACTTGCATTGTGGATAATGTAGGCACGGGGTTTTGATAAGAAAGAAGAATGTGGGAATGGGATGAATAGTAAATAAGACACCTTGAACTAATATGAATAAGCCTTACAGGTGGTCTCATCCTCTCTGCTGACTTGTCCTCTGCTCAGGTAACATCAGTGCTGTGAACTTCACTGTACAAGCTGTGGATGAGAAAGTCATGGTCCACATCATAGATCCTCTGACCAGTATTCATCAGACTGACAAGCAGCTCAGCATCAGAGACATTCTCAAAAAGGACCTCAAGTATAAGATCAGCTACTACAAGGCTGGAAGTACAGGCAAGGTACAGTATACAGCTGCCAACAATAACACTACCATACAAAGAGTCTCACCAAAGTATCGAAAACTAACACATTTGTGAAATACCTACTAGAATGATCATACAGTAGGTTTAAGTGTTTATGTGTTGGATCTATATGATTCATCAATTATATTATTTCAAATATATACTATTATTTAAATTAAGATATTCATGTTAAAATTGTTTCATCCAATTTAACCATGCATAAACCAGGGGTGTCAAACATACGGCCTGCAGCCTATAACCAGCCAGCCAAAAGTTCCAATTAAGCCCACTCGATGACTTTTCACACCTAATATTGATGCACTTGTGAGGGCTGAGAGATGTCAGGCTTTAGGAGCAACTTTAACCAGTGTTAAATGCTACTTCAGAGGCTTTTCACCCCAACCATAATACAACTGTCTGAAAAAACAACTGACTTTGATCTTAGAACAATATTGGTAGAGTATTGTTACTAAGGCACTGCCAAAACTTTAGATTTGTAAATGGTTTGTAAGGGAGGAGATAACTGAACCTGCTTTCTCAATAACTTCCACTTAAGTTTGGTGTGGTGATGCCAGAATAACAACACAGGAGTGGAAATATATGGAAAAATATACATGTAATGACAGTGAGTTGTGGACTGAACGTGGAAAAACTGAGACATATTTTTGAAATTCCACCTATTTTTCCTGAGACATCTGCTCATCATCTGTTTTGTAAATAAATCAACATTTTCAAAATATAATTTTTTTCTCTAACAGAAATGGAAAAATTTGTAGGCGTTGTTATTTTTAGATGATCATGTAATGATTATACTGGTGTGGCCCACTGGAGATCAAATTGGGCTGTATGTGGCTAATGAACTGGAATGAGTTTGACACCCCTGGCATAAACTTTACAAAATGGACCAAAGTATATCTTTTGGTTAAACGTTTCACTTAGCATTGATAAGATGAAAAGCACATGAATACAGTGCTGTGGGTCAAGATATGCTGTTAACTGTAGGAAGTCCTTCAGAATGCAACACATTTACCAACATCTTCAACACACCATGATTTAATTATATGCTTTTCAATAACTCTCCTTGATTGGGGTGGTATTTAAGCTTGTTTCTGGTTTCTTAATAATCAATCAATTAGTCATGTGACTTACTGACCACCATAGCTACAAACACAAACAACATTACAGTTGTCTTTTCAAATAGTCTTTTTTTATTTTATTTTATTTTTTACAAAATACAATTCCCCCCTCAACAGATAGAAGACTACAAGAAAAATAACCAGTTCATGTCCATAAATACATATACACTGAACTAACTGTTATATACCAAATTCTACATTGTTTCAATTTTTCAAAATATAACAATTTCTTCCAGTTATTTTCAGTTATGTATTAGCCAAACTACACTGAACAAAAATATGTTTTTTTCCCATTTTTCATGAGCTGAACTCAAAGATCTAAAACATTTTCTATATACACAAAAGACTATTTCCCTCAAATATTGTTCACAAATCTGTCTAAATCTGTGTTAGTGAGCACTTCTCTTTTGCAGAGATAATCCATCCCACCTCACAGGTGTGCCATATCAAGATGCTGATTAGACAGCATGATTATTGCACAGGTGTACCTTAGGCTGGCCACAATAAAAGGCCACTCTGAAATGTTCAGTTTTATCACACAGCACAATGCCACGGATGTCGCAAGTTTTGAGGGAGCGTGCAATTGGCATGCTGACTGCAGGAATGTCCACCAGAGCTGTTGCCCGCGAATTGAATGTTCATTTCTCTACCATAAGCCGTCTCCAAAGGCGTTTCAGACAGTTTGGCAGTACATCCAACCGGCCTCACAACCGCAGACCACGTGTAACCACACCAGCCCAGGACCTCCACATCCAGCATGTTCACCTCCAAGATCGTCTGAGACCAGCCACCCGGACAGCTGCTGCAACAATCGGTTTGCATAACCAAAGAATTTCTGCACAAACTGTCAGAAACCGTCTCAGGGAAGCTCATCTGCATGCTCGTCGTCCTCATCGGGGTCTCGATCTGACTGCAGTTTGTCGTCGTAACCGACTTGAGTGGGCAAATGCTCACATTAGATGGCGTCTGGCACGTTGGAGAGGTGTTCTCTTCACGGATGAATCCTGGTTTTCACTGTTCAGGGCAGATGGAAGACAGCGTGTGTGGCGTCGTATGGGTGAGCAGTTTGCTGATATCAGCGTTGTGGATCGAGTGGCCCATGGTGGCGATGGGGTTATGGTATGGGCAGGCGTATGGACAACGAACACAGGTGCATTTTATTGATGGCATTTTGAATGCACAGCGATACCGTGACGAGATCCTGAGGCCCATTGTTGTGCCATTCATCCACGACCATCACCTCATGTTGCAGCATGATAATGCATGGTGGTGGTGGGGGTTATGGCCCCACCGCCACCATGGGCCACTCGACCCACAACGTTGACATCTGCAAACCGCTCACCCACACGACGCCACACACGCCTTTGGAGACGGCTTATGGTAGAGAAATGAACATTCAATTCATGGGCAACAGCTCTGGTGGGCATTCCTGTAGTCAGCATGCCAATTGCACGCTCCCTCAAAACTTGCAACGTCTGTGGCATTGTGCTGTGTGATAAAACTGCACATTTCAGAGTGGCCTTTTATTGTGGCCAGCCTAAGGCACACCTGTGCAATATTCATGGTGTCTAATCAGCATCTTGATATGCCACACCTGTGAGGTGGGATGGATTATCTCGGCAAAGGAGAAGTGCTCACTAACACAGATTTAGACAGATTTGTGAACAATATTTGAGGGAAATGGTCTTTTGTGTGTATAGAAAATGTTTTAGATCTTTGAGTTCAGCTCATGAAAAATGGGAGCAAAAACAAAAGTGTTGCATTTATATTTTTGTTCAGTATATATATCTTTGAACATTACAGTTACAGCTATAAATGACAACAGAAATAAACAAGCGGTGAATTTCATATATCTCTGCAATTTAAATCAGTTGCCAGTTGAATAGTTAGTTGCCAGCTGCCAGGCACACCTACTTCATAAAAAATGTAAAAGACTATAACCAAAGCTGAATAGACTAGACTGATACGACTCTAACGTCTGTAAATCTGTACAGTAAATATAACGCTGCAGCAGCCACTGAGTTTAGCTCAGCATAAAGACTGAAGGCAGGGGTTAACAGCTACCAGCAGCTCTGAAATTAACTGATTAGCACGTTATGTAAGTGGTTGTGGTTTTATTGAGGATTATGTGCTGAACTAGCAAGGACAAAATCTGGCACACAATCTTCCATAACCAAGTTGTTACACAGACAAGATGTAACATGTAGTGAGAGTCAGAAGTGCTGGTAATTTTTTAAATTTTGAAAGAGCTAGGCTAGTTGAGCTAAGCTAACCAGCTGCTGGCTGTTAATGGACAAATATGAGAGTGGTATGAATCTTGTTAGCCAACGCTCAGCAAGTATTTTCCAAAACAGCCTTAGCAAATAACTACAAACATCACATGCGGCCATTAATATTGATGTCTGCTTTAGAGAGAATAGGTATTCACCTTTAGGACTTTCTATGAGCTCCCCTTTGAGAGAGAGGCTGTGCCATCATCAATAGGAAGATAAAATTAAGATCATAAAATACAGTGTAGGTCCACTGAAAGTATGATTATGGCCTCAGAGGCTTATTTAATATTATGTCAAACACGTCAATTACAGAAATTATTTCAATGTCGTAGTGTGTAGGATTTATACTGGCAGAAATGGAAAATAATGTCATAAGTAGGCCTATGTTTCTTTAGTGTATATTCACCTGAACATAATAATTGTTGTGTTTCCATTAGTCGCGCTGCGCCTGTGTTCCATGTATTTTGGCCATAAGCGTTTTGTTTTCTTAACCTTAGAATGAGTTGTTTATATCTACAAAGGGAGTTGGTCCTTCTCTACAGGGATCACCATGTTGCACTGCCATGTTTCCACAGTAGCCCATAAGAGATTACTAAACATTGGCTGTAGAGAGGGTCATTCATGTTGCTGCATTGGCCACTGTAGTTAGCAGCCGCTCTGTGACTGAAAAACACAGATTTTGTTTTTGTCTGAAACGGCTTTATTCAGTGATCTTAACGCTTTTAATTACCAGTTGTTTTAGAGAGGAAGAGACCTCTATGGATAATTCAGCTCCTGCTAAAAACCTCCTGAAAATCTGGATCTTAAGTTATCAGAAAAAAAAAAAGCTGAGCATACATTAGCAGTTGCTAGGCTAATGGCCCGTCCCCAGTACAAATTTGCGAGTCCTGGGATAGCAAATGGCCCACATTGGTTAGATAAATTAGGTTTGGACAAAATAAGTGGGATTGGTTAGGGGTATAGTAAGAATGCCAGGGTAAGCCAATCAGAGGCAGAGTAAAGCAGAGTAAGGCGGGCCATTCCTTCGCTATCCTAGGACGTGCAAATTCACATCTCCGACATGCCAAACATAAATTAAAACTGCTCTATTCAGTTTGTTTAGGAGTTGGAGAGACCTCTGGATAATTCAGCTCCCAGTAAAACCCTCCTTAATGTCTGGATCAGAAATTAGGTGGCAACACATAGCAGGGGTGCAGTCTGTCCTCAACATGCCAAACAGTGTAGGAAAAACACTGATTTGTGAAGTGAAACTGCTTTATTCAGTATTTTTACTGGTTTTAGTCACCAGGTCCATTTGTTTTTGAGAGGAAGAGTCCTCTGTGGATAATTCAGCTCCCTGTAAAAACCTCCTGAACAAAAACTGCTGCAATCTGCAATCCTCAGCACTGGACACAACTAAATCTACCTAAATCTTAGACACTGGACCTCAATCAAGAAATGTTTAATGTCTAAATGTCTGAATGATAAGTTGGATATATGTTTAAATGTGTAATGTTTTCTTCTTACCTGATAGAGAGACATCATATCTGACTCCAATACAGCAGAGGTGTCGGGGCTGGACGCAGGACAGAGTTATTGCTTCATGGTGGCAGCTTTCATCCCCTCCAGAGCCAAAGGCACCCAGCAGGGAGCCTGGGGCATACAGCAGTGTACACCTGGAGAACCTAACATTGTGCAAGGTGCACACACTCTGTATACACTGCACTACACTACACTACACTACACTGGGTATGGACATAGAAAGATCTGTAGAGTAACTCAGCATCACATTAGGGCAGACAATAATCCCTGTGATGTCTTTGCACCTCAGAGTTCATGTGATGGCTGCTGCAGACATCCACATGGCCTAGGGTCAGACCCAGGGTTTCTGAAATGACAGCAGCATTGCACTTCCTAGAAAATGAAAATGAACATTTTTGGCAATTTTGGGTGGCATTGCCAGGTCATGAGTCCTGCCTGAGGCTTTTATGGATAAGAGGGTCCTTTGTTGGATGTGCTTAGAGACCTTTCCAGTTGACGTATTTAGTGGTCAGTTAAGCCTCTAAGAGCTTTCTAGTGAACCAGCATAATTTTGTTAGCATTCACTGTTTTACCCAAACACACTACATATCCCTAAAGCCTGACAAACAAGCATTCCTACCTCATGAAACATCTGTTTAGCTGATATTTTTGTGAAAAAAGACAACATCTAAAAAACAAAAACAAAAGGTAGACTGTGAAATTTTTCTTTAAAAAAGCTGGAAATAACAGAAATGTTCTCATGCTTCGCCTCAGTGGTGGAACATCCCTTAAATGTTTCCTGTGTTTGTGTGATTAAAGTGGCATGGAAAATTCATGACACAATGAAAAACAACTCCCTGAGTTATTTAGGACAAAAAATATTTTATAACTAATTGTCATTTAACATATGTTTTTAATGTAATTATGACACAATATCAGAGTCAGCTGTATGGGTCACATATCACGTGTACACTTTTTCATTGCTCTCAATGTACACAGAAGTAGACATACATCTTAAAAACAGGGACAACAAAGGAGGTAAACAAACATCTGACCATGAAGTACCATAAAACTTCAATTAATAGCACGGGCTATTGTTTACTTAAATCACTGAGCTCAACGGGCCCATATTTGGGACAGTGATCCAAATGGGACAGGCCTTTAATTCCTTTCACACAAAACTGTTGCTCAGCAAAGATGGGAAATAAAATCAAATTGTTTATTTAAACCAGTATGAATGTTACTTGTATAAAAATTATTGTTCGGATAACATATCTATAATGAATCATTCATTTGATCTAGCTCTAGAGTTATGACACTTGTTTTACAGCGCCTGAGGATTATGCCAACCGGCATACTGAAACAACACCACTTTATCCTGTTAAAACAATACTCTCAACTTGGATTAATATTTATGAAACACCTTTTTGATTCTTTTGATCTGAGGACCCTTATGGACTAAGGGAAGATGAATAACTTACAGGGTAATTGAGGAGTGGACACATGGACAATGATTGAATTATGGAGAATCTAACCTAGCTGACTATATGTAGCATCTTCATACTAACAAAAGTATAAACATTTATGCACAAACTGAACAGCTATCTAACGTTAGCTCAGGTGGGTAGCCAACAACCTGGTTTTATACATTCAAAGAACTACTATAAAAATGACCTGCTTGGCAACCAGAGCAGGCATCTCATTTAGACAGGCCTTTATTTGTCAAAATATGTAGCCACACCAGGCTAGTAAAAGGGACTGGGTGATGGGAGTAGGCTTTTAATTGAAGTTTTACAGGTCATTTTTCAACTATGGTCCACTTTCATCTTCATCTTCTAACCGCTTCATCCTCTTGAGGATCGCGGGGGGACTGGAGCCTATCCCAGCTGGCATCGGGCGAGAGGCAGGGTACACCCTGGACAGGTCGCCAGACTATTGCAGGGCTGACACATAGAGACAAACAACCATTCACGCTCGCATTCACACCTACGCACAATTTTAGAGTTATCAATTAACCTAGTCCCCAATCTGCATGTCTTTGGACTGTGGGAGGAAGCCGGAGTGCCCGGAGAGAACCCACGCTGACACGGGGAGAACATGCAAACTCCGCACAGAAGGGCTCCCACACCCAGGATCGAACTGGGAACCCTCTTGCTGTGAGGCGACAGTGCTAACCACCACACCACCGTGCCGCCCCTTATGGTCCGCTTTGCCTGGAAATTTTAGAAAAGTCTATTAAGAGAAATGTATTGATATCTTATATATACAATGTTTTCAGTAATATAACACTGATATTGTCATTTCTATTACCATATATTTATTTCCATCACAATAAATCAAGTGATGGAAATAAACCTGTGGGAAAACGTTTACACAATCTAATTAAATGCTAGATTGCTAGTGTCTGTCTCTCCATTCTGTACATTGCGATGGAAATGATGATAACCCCAAGGGCTTATGGAAGAAGACGCAATACTAATATATCTGACAACACATTCATTAAAATTTGCATTTATGTGTCATTTGTGTTTGAAGTTAATATTAGATCAGTATCGAATTCAAAATTGAGCAGGACTGAATGTCCAAAATCTGGCTCAGGGACAAAGGAAATATAGTAAAAACTACACAGGGCCACTTTTTACATAATAAAAAATGGCTTATTTGTCATTTAATTTCTGTATGTTCCTTTTGGTGTCAATTGAGTGTAAGATAATATGTATAAAAAGTATCTACGGTTTAAAAAGACAACAACAGCAAAATGGAATCTGTTTGCAGTCAGACAGTAGTGCAATAGTGCAGAGGATGTTGGAATAAATATAGAATGATTAATGTAACAGGTTGTTTTACATATTTATATTTCTTGCATTAGTTTTTATTCAGCCATTCTTAATCTTCCATGCTGGCAGAGCAGGTGATACAAACAACACAGAGAGCTGCTCTATAGAGCCACTAGAGGTTAAACATTGTTTTCTGTGTGTTTAAAGGGATGAATGATGAGATAGATCTGTCTGTCTAACAGCAATTCTCATTGTCCCTACAGACTTAAGCCTTGGAGCGTGGGTCGGTATAGTCTTCATCATGCTCACAGTCCTCATCATCATCATCACAGTGACAGTCCTCTGCTGCAAATGCTGCCGACAAAAGAACCCATCTCAGTCATCAGCACCTGTTTAGTGTGTGTGTGTGTGTGTGTGTGTGTAGGTGTCTTTCAAGCACAGAGAGCTGGTCTCTCTTCAGTTTTCTATCTCCTCTTTGTTTCTAGGAAAACATCCTTTTACATTGCTAGGTTGTGTGTTTACAGTATAATGTAGTTTGCATTTTTTATTTTTTGTTTTCATTTACATGAATGTGAACATATGCAACTTGTTCCAACAATGCAACTGTGTTAAGGTCAAACTATCTGCATTTTAAGCACCACCTGTGCATTTCTTGCATTCATCCTGTGTGTGTGATCATTTGTACATCAAGAATCATGTACGGCTTGGCTTTAGAATATCAAACGCTAACCACAGCAACAGTTCACATTAGAAGAGTTGTGTCAGAAGCTCGTTTAGAAGATCTAAACTATGATTTGTCTACCTGTTAGATTGTATGAGTGCAGACTAAATGTATAACATTCCCTGACAACTTTATTCCCAAGTCTTATCTATCCTCTTTTTTAACTCATTATTACAACCCAGTTGGGCTCACACTGTCTCCTTTAAACTTATTTTTCATGATTTATTCTTTGTATTAAGCTTTCCCTAAAAGTTTTGTCAGACACAAATCACTACTAACAGTACAGTAAACCATGCTCTATAGTGGCACCTAGTGGCTGTACCATGAAACTACAATAACATTAGCAAACTCATCTCTTAAAAACCATATTCATCTATTGTCTTATGTGTAATTCAGACTCTTCATTCTTTTGTTTTTAATGTCAGAAAAGAAACTTTTGTTGATCAAAAGGATGGAAAAGCAATAAAACAATAAAAATGGCAAAGCAACAAGAGATCCCTTTCCTCTCTCATTGGCTGTATTATTATTTTCTTTCATAAACTTTGAGCATTCCCCAAATGTAGAGATGTGTTCACTTCCCTCTACATATCGAGATGCTTCTAGACTTACTAGGCTTGATCTTCATGCTGGCCCACTTGAGGTTCTTATTTACCTTCTCTAGTAGTCTCTTTGTACATGGCATTGTTGTGGTCACCAGTGTCATGTCAACCATGTAAGCCCTAACTGGTGGAAGATGCAACCCATTCTGCCATCTTTCCCCACCTACTACCCATTTGGAAGCCCTGATGATTACTTCCATTGCCATAGTAAATGCTAATGGAGAAATTGTACACCCTGCCATAATACCTATTTCTTGCCGCTGCCAACCTGTTGTTAAACCTGCTGTTCTTAGACACAACCTAATATCCTGAAAGTATGCTTTCACTAAGTTAACAACTACCTGTGGCACTTTGAAATAGTCAAACGCATTCAAAATGAGGCTATGTGGTACTGAACCAAACACATTTGCAAGATCTAAAAAAAGAACGCCTTAAGGAAATTTCTTCAAATTAGGCACAAATGTCCACTTGGACTCAGCCATTAAGTAACTAGTTTTTGGTGGTCAAAGGTCAAGGTCACTGTGACCTTGGCTTTCTCATACTTGTGAACGCAATATTTGAAGATCACCTTAAGGGAATTTCTTCAAATTTGGCACAAAAGTCCACTTGGACTCAGCCATTAAGTAACTAGTTTTTGGTGGTCAAAGGTCAAGGTCACTGTGACCTTGGCTTTCTCATACTTGTGAACGCAATATTTGAAGATCACCTTAAGGGAATTTCTTCAAATTTGGCACAAAGGTTGACTTGGACTTCAGGATGAAATGATTAGATTTTGATGGTCAAGGGTTGAAGGTCAAGGTCGTTGTGACCTTGCATCTCTGTCATTCTCGTGAACTTGATATCTCAACAGTTTGAGGGAAGTTTGGCACAAACATCAACCTGGAATGAAGAATAAACTGACTGGAATTTTGTGGTCAAAGGTCAAGGTCAGTGTGACCTCACAAAATATGTTCTTGGCCATAACTCAAGAATTCATATGCCAATTATGACAAAACTTAACACAAATGCCTAATAGGATAAAATAATGAGGTGATGACATTTAATATCCAAAGGGTTAAAGGTCACCTTAAAGAATGATGGCACCATGACCTCCACTTGTATTGATCATATCTTTACCAACACACCTGAGTTATGTTCTAAAGTACTATCTGTTCCCATTGGTTGCAGTGATCATAATTTAATAGTAATTGTAAGGAATACAAAAGTACCTAAGCCTGGACCCAAAGTAATACTTAAAAGATCATATAGAATATTTACTCATACAAGAATGTATGCTGGATGCTGGTCTAATATGTTGTCGAGTATTTATACTGAAGAAGCTCTGTCCAAATTTAAAGAAAACTTCATGCCTCTGGTTGATGAACATGCACCACTTAAGAAGTTTACTGTCAGAAATGCCAGAACACCATGGTTGGACAAAGAAATCAAGGAGCATATGAAACAAAGAGAGCAAGCGAAAACAAAAAAACAGCTATCATAACTGGATATAAACACAACTGGGAGGTTTATCGTAAACTAAGAAACTCTGTCACAAAATTAAATAGAAATAAAAAGATATTATATTACGAAAATAGGATTAATGATATTAGAAATGATAGTAAAAAAAATTGAATATGCTAAACCATCTATTAGGCAGGAACACTAAATCCACTCCATCCTTTCTAGAAATGGAAGGTAACTTCCTAACAAAACCCAGCAATTGCTAATCATTTTAATAACTTTAATAATAGATAAAGTTGAAACATTAAGTAATAACATGCCAAATATAGATAACAATATATCTTACCTACTAATAAAATTGAAATTATGAAGGATAAAAATTGTAAATTTAAATCTGACAGAGTAAACATAAGTGAGGTGGAAAATAGGATAAGGACTTAATAAACGAGGTGTTGATGGACTTGAAGGGAAACTTAAGATAATACCACTAATAGTTGGTGCTGTTCTGTTGGATTTCTCAGCAGCATTTGATATCATCATAAATTATTATTGACAAAAATTGGAATGTTATGGCTTTGATCAGTCCGCATTATCTTGGGTTGAGAGTTATTTAAATAACAGGACAAAGACTGTTTTCTTTAATGGCAGTTATTCTGATGTCAGAGCTGTAACGTGTAGTGTGCCCAAGGGGAGCTGCCTTGGACCTTTACTGTACAATATTTTTGCCAATGATTTACCACTTGTCTTACATAAAGCTAAAACAGCGATGAGTAAGTTAGATACTGTTCTAAATGTCGAGTTACAATCAGTAGTTGAATGGGTTAAAAGAAATAAACTGGTTCTGAATATATCAAGACTAATACCATGGTACTTGGCACTAACCACACCATCAATACAAATCCAAAGTTAGACCTCAGAATAAATGATGTGGCTATTGCATGAAACCAAGCTTCTGGGCATCGTCATAGACAATAAATTATCATGGACAAAACATATCAATAGGATAACTGCCAAAAAAAAGGTGTGATCTCTGCAATCAGGAGATGTGCGACGTTTTTAACACCGAGAGGCAGAAAACAAGTAACTCAGGCCTTAATATTGTCAAACCTTGACTATTGCCCAGCAGTCTGGTCTAATGCCACAGCAGAAATGATGAGGAAATTGCAAATGATACAGAACAGAGCAGCACACATAGCACTCTGTTGTAATCATAGAATGAATGTGGTTATAAGAGTCTGAATTGGTTAGGATAGAAAAGTCTCTGTCACGAAAACTCCGTTAATTTTGTATCAGAACTCATCTTTCAGTACAGACAAACATAATTACACAACTACTTGAGGTACTTTCACTCTACCAAAAGTAAAGACAAATACTATCAAATGAACAGTCATGTACAGAGTGATGTATGAATGGAACTCATTCCCCAGACACATTACACAGGAAAACAGTAAAACTAGATCTAAATTATTACTAAAACAGCAACTTTTTAATAGATACAGCTAAACTTGTAGGAAGCAGTTATAATGAATATATATATATATATATATATATAT